CGCAATCAAATAAAATCCCTCATTTGTATATATTTTTAAAAGTGCTGCATTTAAATCAGTTCACAAATCGAGTATCATCCTGGATTCTACCAAGCACGTGTTCCAGATACAGCACAAGATCATCTGATCTTCATCCCTGCCCTGAGTACGCTACAAGTGTCACCAGCTTCACAATTTTGCCCAAGTAGTAAAATGCTGCCTCCCAAGGCCACAGACCAAGATGGTCACTGAGAGCTGGGCTAACCCTCTACAATGTCCCTCTGGATATAACATTTCTCCTTCTTTTCTCTCCTCCACTCAGCCTTCTATATTATGCTGCTGAGACCCATGGTCCAGCTGTGCAGAAGATTTCATTGTTCCACTCAATGAAGCTCTTCAAATGCCCTTCTGGAGAAGGTTCTGCTTAAAAACAAAAGAGTCAGCATCAGTCAGGATGACTGGGTTCAAATCCTGGTTCTGCTACTTCTAGATACGAAAGCAGGTGACATGTTCTCTCCTCATCGATTTCCTCTTTTTCTGACTTTTAGAGGAATAGGTGAAATTACCGTAAGCATTCAGTATTATTCTTGGCACTGTCATAACACAGTGCTATCCTCTTCCTAAAATAAAATTCCAAATAATGTTCAGGTAGTTTAAAAAATTAGAGCACTAGAATCTACTGAGACCGTAAGAATATGCCTCCAAAATTACTCTCTTGAGGAAACGTTTACTTAGCTCCTTGTTGTACTTAAGCATAATTGTTAGTCACTCTCTCCTTTCTTCTCTTAATGAATATTTTATTGAAACCTTACTATGTGCCAGGCACTGAGCTAAGTATTTGAAACACCAAGATGCACACACTTGACCCTTGACTTTTAGGAATTGACAAGTGAGGAAAACTATAACAAGCAGTGACGGGTGTATGTAAAATGTTAGGAGAAACTGTGAGGGAAGAATGAATTGTCTGGGGGTAGTGGTAAAGACACCCTCAGAGACATTTGAGCTCACCATTAAAGGAGTGTGTATTTATTGCTACTTATTGGGACACTTCTGTGTGTCGCTGATGGGGCAGAGTATCATTTTAACATCCCATACATTAACTATGGTAGAGAATATTTTCTCATTTTTCAGAAAAGAACACCAAAGGTCAAGGAGGTTAAGAAGAGTGTACTCACACAACTGGCCCATTCGAATACTTGAGATTTCAGCCCAAGCTGTACTGGTTTTGAAGGCCATATACTTTCTTACAACCCAGTGGGCCAATCCATCTGCCACTCAGATCAGAAAAAAGAAAAAAGCTTTATTATCTATGGACTCATTTGTGTTTAAATTGTATACTGTTTGGTACATATGAAATGATTTAGTACTGCTTATTACATAGAGATATGTATTTATTTTAGAAGAAAACTGAAAAAGAATGAGTGAATAATTTGCCAAGCATTTTATACAGCTATATCTAATTAATACAGCTATCGAGAAATACAGCTATATCTAATTAAATATGATCTATTTTTATACCTATTGGTATCTTTCTTTTTTCATTTAACAACAAATCAAACATGGCTTTGATGCCGCAGCTACCTGTCTTGGCTCGTGCTTATTAATCGATGTTATTATGTGCTTTGAATGGATGGATGCTCTTATTTATTTAACCTACTCTTTCTTTGGAAATTCATCTTGATTTCAATTGTTTTTGATTACTGTAAAGAACAGTGTGGTGTTCATCCTTTGTACAAATGCTTTTGCACATTTGTCCAGGCATTCTTTCAAGATGAATTTTTTTCTGTAAGAGGAATTACAAGGTCAGATGTCTAAGATCTTTGAAGCATTTTGCCATACTGTGTTTCATCATGTACAAATTTATATTTGCACTGGCTGATTATGAAGGCACACTGACCTTTTGATGTTTTTATGTTGCTATGCTTTCTTTTTATCTTACTGATTTACAAGGGTTCTTTATATATTAAGGCTGTGTGCTCTTTGTCTTTCACATATTCTGGGGTATATTTGTTTATGAATATATTTAATATTTATACAATGAAATCTATAAGTGTTTATGGTTTTGCTATTGATTCAATATGTAGGAAACACTCCTCTAATCATGATCATAAATTTCCTTTTGGGTATTTTGTGGTCTCTAGCTTTATATTTTACTTTTAAATCTATCCAGAATTTAATGTTGTGTATGGGAAATATTTACATATTTCAAGTAGGAAGCAATCCAGATTAACACATTTCTAGGCAATAGTTTTTGCTCAGCCCTTTACAGATGACATGCTTTTACTGTCAAATCAAACCCAGTCCATACCAAATCATTTTCCATCAGTCTGCGTTTGTCTATTTTCATTCACAGTATCATGCTGTTTTGATCATTACTGCTCTGTGGTATGTTTGGTGTCTGGCAGTACAAGTCTCCTCAACAATTTTACTTTTCAAAAATTTTAATATAGTCTTTTTTTTAAATTCCATAAATGAGGGTATAAGGTACAGAGTTACTTAAAAGTATGGGAGTCATATGCATGGCAAGGTCAATGTACTAGATAAAAAACAACCTGCCTCATAATTTCATAGCCATATTCATTTCATGCCTGTACTGAATGGTGTCATCCTGGTGCTAGGGTCTGAATTCCCAATCTATCATTAGACCTACTATATTCTATTTGCCAAGGACCTTTGCAGGAGATTTGTTTCATTCTGTCCACATGAAAAGCCACTATTGCATCATAGTTAAGACAGCAAGATCTAGCTGAGAGATCTTGGGCAAGCTATCCTACCTCTCTTGAGCCTCAGTGTCTATTTTTGCAATAAAAGGCTGTCAGAACACTATTGACACATGAACTACTGCATACTGAATCAACCAACATTAATCAGCATCATTGTGTTCCAACGGTCTCGGGTTAAATAAAACAGAATCTCACAAATCCATTTGCAAATGTTTCTAGGGAGGAAAGTTGTCATCGTGTTTTTCCTTCTCACAGTGTCCAGAGTGCTGGTTCTTTAAAGCATATTGGAACCTGGCCAGATCAGGTCCCTGGGATGCTGCATGAGGATCCTAAATGAGCCAGTTCACCCGACACTACTTCTGATTCTTCTTAGCACCCTCCTGGTGGCCTTTGTCTATCCTGTCAACTTAGATATCCGAGATGCTCTCCCTCCTCAGTTTTCCCTCCGTTTCTACGGAGCAGATCTTTTCTGCCAGCTGGAGCCTTAGTTTGAGGGGAGCCAGGCTCCCTTGCTTGAGGACCCCAGCTGTGCCACAAACCAGTCCATATCAATCCTCTCAACTACTTTCTTCTGCTGAAAGAAAGGGGGTGTCAATGCTTTCCCTGCCAGCCTTCCATGGAGATCAGATGAGACTAACACACATAAAAACTTTTTATGGAATGTAAAACCTAGGCTAGGTTAGGTGCTCAATAAATGTCAGTGTATTCTTGAAGAATGTTCAGTGCTAAGTAACAGAAAACCAAATTTGAACTGGCTCAGACAATGAAGGATTTATGCAAATGGAGATCCAAATCAAAAGCTGGACTTCATGAAAGTCTGATTCAGCAGTCTCACCATGTCATCAAGAATGTGTTTACTTGTTTGTATCTCTGTGCGTTAGTTCCTCTGTCTTCACCCTCCCTGTCATGTACTCAGCTTTACCCTAGTCTCCCCCTCGCAATTACAACATACCTGTAAACATCCAGGGAGGACCCGAAGGCCTCATCAGAATATCTCTCCAGATACACCAACGAGCTCTTCAGGAATCCTAGCAGATTTCTCTTGTTGTAGCTTAGTGGCAAAAATCAGGTCCTAAGCCAATAAGTAGGGTCTGTACCTCTATGTGCTCGGAACCACAGCCCTGGTGTAAAATCACCTTTAAATCAGTGTGAAACAATATAGAGACAGAAGGCAGAAACCAAGCCAAGAGTCCAGTGATTCCCGGACAATGGAGAATGGGCACTGTGATGAGCAACAATGCCCACTCCTTGTTTTCCTCGTCCCCTAGGATGGGGTTGGGAGCACGGGCAATTGCCACCGACACAGGAGGCCTCAAAGCATTGATAGATTCTGGGTCTATAAGAAAAAGAAAGCTCAGCCTCGTGTCAAGACCAAAACACTTCTCTTTAACGGTAATAAGAACAGTAGCAATAATGATAATGTGCAGAGTTTAAAAAGTATTAAAAATAGATTTTTAGAGAGAACAAAAATACCTTTGTTCCAAACCACTTGAGAAGAGTTATTTGAATCTGTGCTGAAGGCCAGGGATGGAGTCTGAGGCACAATTGTTTTCCCTGCTCTGTTTTCAACTCTTTCTGTCACTAGGAGTCTTTCTTTGTTACCCCCCTTTTCTCCCTTTCTCCTCCAGCTCTCTTTTTTTCATCGGTGTAGACTGCATTAGCCTCAAATTCCTGGGAGAAAACCTGAGTGGGGAAGTCTAGAGGGGGCCGCACAGTAGGCCCAAGGCCTGACGGAGTAACCTGAGTGAATTCCTAGCCAATCCCCTTCGGCGGGAGAAAACTTGGTCTCCCTGGAAGGTTGAATGGCCCAAGTGAGCCCTTCACGCCTCCGGGTTGCTAAGCGACAAACACTTCAAGTTTGGAAATCTTTATCCACACCGGATATATTATCCTGGCAAATTGGACTTTCAGATCTGGCAGCAATGGAAAGAGTAACTTTTTTAAAAATAGAGACAATTTAGATGATTTCAAAGACATCTGGTCTCTTTTTCCAGCGATGTCTGACTCTTCCCTTTCACTAAGCACATTGGATCCAAACTCTTCACATGTACAAAGCACAAGGTCCCTGAGCAAAGATGCGTTTCAGTCACAAAAAGCCAACTCATAGAAAAGTGCTGCCATTTAGAAAGGCCCAGACCCTCCCAGGACAGCAGTGTCGGGCTCTAGCTGCTTGCTTCTTTCTGTTGACTCTCCCTTTCACCTACCTTCTTCCAAGTTCCTCCTCTCTCTGATTCTCATCACCGACTCCCCTTTCTGCCCTGTCTCACTCTCTCTCTCCTTTCCTTCTCTTTGTCTTACCTTTGTCTCTGGAAGCTTCCAGTCCATCATTTCTTTCTCATTATCCTTTCTTGCCCATGCTGAGGAAAACTCAAAGCCAAGAAGCAACACAATGGCTGATGACCGGGATGCTTGATTACTCTTCCCATCGCCTCACTGGGGTGGGCATTGGTCACTCTTCCTTTGTTCCTAAATCATAGCTGGTATAATCCCAATGCACAGTTCCTTCTCTGATAGCCTTTAAAAAAATTCAAGAGAAAACCAAACACCAAATACTTCCTCCACCTGCTTGCAAATACCTAGAATTCCTCCAACAGAGAATAGTGCATTCCACAACCACAGAGCAGTTTTAAACATAAATAATAAACAATTCCCAGCTGGGCAGCTCTTCACCATTTTCCAAACACATCCAGCTGTTTCCCACCAGTTCCCTCATTTGACCCCCTCCATAACCTGGAGGCAGAAAGTAACGTTATTATTACCACCATCTCCACTACACAGTGAGGAGACAGCAGCTCTGAGACAGGGAGATTGGCCAACCCAGGTCCACCCGACTGTAGAGTCTATACTCTTTTCCACCCTGTCTCTCTTCTCCCAAAAGGAACTACAATGGCCTGACTTGTTGGAGTAGCTTCGCTAACATCTTCAGAGCCCAGATTCCCCTCTCAGAAATCCCTGCTTTGAAGTTTGGCTGTTGAAACCTGTGAGCGGGGTATGCTGCCACCAGATGGCAGATGACACTCTGGTTTTACTGTGAGCTCCAGGCTTTTACCATAACTAAAAATGAGTCAAGTGTTTTTTCTGTATTTTATCTTTTTATAATCAAAATTATAGTTCACTAAAAAATAGCTAAGCACAGCAGCATTTCGCATCTATACAGATGATGATGATCTGAAGAGAAGAAGATATATATTTAGAAGAATAAATACACAGGTTGACTGTAGGCCTATCAAAATGTTCACTGACTGTTACCAGGCACAACCCAGTCTAATTCTACCCACAGAGTCACGGCCTACTTTTGGTTCTGAGTTGTTCCAAAGCACCCTAAAGTTACTACCTGCCCTTTCTGCCACTCAGCTACCCAACCACCAGCCTGACTGGAGGAAAGAGGCTGATTCTCAACTTCAGTGACCTCCTAAATCACCAAAAGCCTTGGTAAAACAGAACTCTGGTTCTTAGTTCCTGAATCTCTGATTCACAGGGCCTGAATGGGGCCGGAAAATTTGCTTTATTAAGGAATTTCAAGGTGAAGCTGATGCTGCTCATCTAGGGACATCTGAAAGACGTAAGGTAAGAACCTGGTCTGGCCCCTATGATCTCCCCATTGTCCCTCACCTCTCACCAACACTGTGGGGGAGGGGCTGAGTTCTATGGCCTCCCAATCAGAGCCTGGGATCCCACTATGAATAATCAACCCATAGCCACCCCAAATATGTGCTGGCACCAAATTATATTTGAGTCACTTTCACTAATATATATTTCTATTGCTCAGGGTCCCCTTTGGACAATACATGCCCCATCAATGTCTATCAGAAATATATATATATATATATATATATATATATATATATATATATATATCATTATAATGATGGAAAACGCCAGCACTTATTAAAGCTGCCAGCACTGCAGTAAAGTTCATAATAACTCTACAAGAATGGTCAGATTACTAATTCCCTTCCACAGATACGCAGAGAATCAAGATGACAAAGCTGTTATCCTGCAATGCCTGGACTAAATATAGTACTAGTTTATCCGTCTCTAGATGTTACCTCTCAGCCATTGCAGAAAACAACTAGCAATCTTCAGTGTGGGTATGGTAAGTTGGCTTCCTGTCTCCTCAGGTTTCTCCAGGCTCCTAGTTTTGGGTCCTGGCCTTTTCCCCACTGGACTAGGTCATGGCTACCAGTGGTCAGGATGCCCCATGGGCTCCTCTCTCCCCTCTCTAAATCTTCCATCTCACTCCGCCATGTTGGATGGAGGGTGAAACAAGGTGGAAGGCCTTCAGGCTCTCCCAGAGTCTTAAGCACAAAGATAAGCTCAAATGCATGTCCAGAAGCTCTTCAAGGCGGAGACGGGAAATCAGACACCTTATAATGAGCTGCAACAAATGTGATGGTGCTAAGTAGAAGCAACATCACAGAAAGTCCTCTCATTTAAGAACTATACAAACATATTGCAAGAGAAAATGGACAGTGATGGCAAGTGATGGCAGGGAAGAAAAAAGAAAGGAGGAAAGAAGAAAGAGAGAAGAGAATTCTAAAAAAAAGTAAAGAAAGAACCAATCCAGGAGAACAAATAACAAAAAAATAAGAAGTTATTTCTCACCATATTTCCACACTGTGTAACATCTTAATAAGAAGATAAGTTCAGGAATGTAAAGGTTTCAAAGATAAGATAATGAGATTACAAACAGAAAAGGAGATTGAAGATCTAAGGAAACAAATTGAAGACCCAAACCACATCATTACAGACCTAATACAAAAAGTGAGAGAGCAAGGAACAGGTATATTTCTCTGCAAATAAATTATTTATGCGAAAGAGGTTTTTGAGATAATCACAGTAAATGCGGATTAAAACAAAGACATGAGAGCAAGTACAAAGAAGCTAATAGATTTTCAAAGCACCTAATCAATAAAAGATAAGCATCCAACTCCAAACGTAAAATTTTTAAAAATTATCTAAATAAAGAGAAAAATGGGTATGCAAACTTGAAAGACATACAATATTCCCACAAAATTTAAAACCATGCAAGTAGATGCAATATACGGGTTAAGTAATGACATTTCAAACATTCAGACAGTTAAGAATACACGAGACCACATCTCAGCCTTCTCCAGGTAACACTGTCACCAAAGCAGCATTCACAGTGTTCTAAGAAAAAGAGAACTCACCCCGGAATATTACAGACACTCAAGAGTGCTGTTATGTAAAGAAGCAACGGACTTTCTCCAAGATCCAAAACCCAGGAGGACAGCACCCAGGAGCCCTTCTCAAATAAAACTATGACACAATGACATTCAGCCAAATAAGAAACAAAGAGTTTAGAAATTGAAACACCATGAAAAAGCACTGATGGGAAGCCCTAAATCCATGTAATATTTGTTCCAGCACTGAACAGCCCTCTCAATGAAGCACCCCGTTTCACCGCAAATGTATCTGTCCCCAATCCAGCCAACATCGTACTCTCCTTGAACCTGCTTTACTTCTGACTTTCAGCCTACCACCCATTACTCTCCTCTGTCTTTGTTATTTATTATTTGGGTCCCGCCCCATCTAACAGAGAGTAAGCTAGTCAAGAGCAACAGGGATTAAATAGTTGCATGAAATATGAAAATTATTCTAGTTACTGAGCATAAAGAGGGAGCTCTTGGTTAGAACTATGTAAAAATAAGAAGATATAACTAGTAAAACCCCAATTTGGGGCCAAGGGACATGGAAGAAGTCTGAGAGCACTGCTATCATTACCCTGCCCAGCCCAAGCCCAGCTGACGCACAGCTGAATGAGACAATGGCTCTGTCCCCACCTCCGGTGCCAGGAGATCTGGACTCTCATCCCGCCTCTGCCATCCTGTGCTACGTGGCCCTGAAGAAGGCACTTGAGGCCCCTGACACCCATTTTTTCCAGTCAAGTTCTCAGATGGATGCTTCTGTGATTTAGAAACTGAGACTCTCCATGTGGGGCCTGGGTAGTAGGGAGCAGGGTGCCTTTTGAGAAAGTAAATGGCAGCCAGGGACTCAATACAGCTTTTCAAAAATTATTTAAAGAGATTGCGAGCTTTCACTTATTTATTTATTTATTTATTTGGTTATTTATTTGTTTTTTGGTGGTGCAAGTGATGATGAAATCTAGGCTCGTCAAGCTATATCCCCAGGCTTTTTTATTTTCTTGCTTTGAGACCAGGTCTTGTAAAATTGCCAGGCTGGTTTTAAACTTGTGATCCTCCTGCTTCAGCTCTTCAGTAACTGCGATTAACAAACATGGGCCATCACAACAGGCATGACTCTCATTCCTGGATGTTTCACATAATCACATTGATTAAACTTAAGGATATTTCATGAAATAATATCTTACAGCAAAGAATTATTTATTCAATAATTTCTGTAGTATCATTAGGCATATTTTTATTCTATTAAATTCTAGTCAAGTTAAAGGTAACCCTTCATATTTTAAAACAGTATTTAGCATCATTTTTATTAAAGTGATTTATCTCTTTTTCTATAAAGATACACAGATATGAAAATAACAGTAATGACATTATTTCTAACAACTATTATTTGTGAGGAGTTACTTTACTACTTTTGTCTTTAAACTTTCCTCTGTACATTAATTTAGCATATGCCTTTTTCTTAAATACAATAAAATGATTTGCCTTTGTTTAGAAAAAAGAATGGATAGATGGGTAAATGGATGGATGGAAAGGAAGAGAAAGGAAGGAGAGAAGGCAGAGAGGGAGGAAAGGAGAGGAGGGTGGAAACACATGTCAAAACACAGGTATAGATATGGGTGTCCAGCATTCATGGTAGAGTAGTAGGTAGAACGGGAATCTCTGGCGTTAGTAACTTGCATTTTTTCTGATGACAACAGTAATGACAAGACTGAGTCCTTACCACGCACCAGGCTCCATGCTAGGTACTCCTATGAAGAGCAAGAGGCCTCAAGGATGCAGCACCTGTCAAGGTTAAAAGTCTGGAAGCCCACTGACGAGCTGTTGGCGGAAGCCTTATAGGAAGACTAAAGAAATGGGGACTGATGTCTAAGGGCAATGGGGAAGATTTGAGCCCTGCTAAAACTGAGTTGTTTCTCTCTTCTCTCTTTCCTCTTTCACCCTATCCCTGCTGCAGGTTTATTGGGTAGTGTCATCCGTATTAGGGATAGCTCTTCCCCTCTCAGTTTGGTGGCCTACCTGTCAGTCATCCACAAACACACCCAGAATTGTGCTCCACTAATCTGCTAAGGGTTTCTTACTCCATTCAAGACTACACATCACACTGACCTCCAATTTGGGATCCTCCTGCCTCAGCCTCCCAAGTGGCTGGGATTCTAGATATACATGACCCCCTCCCAGTCAGCATTTACTATTTGCTTTTAAAACATCATCTCCAGAGGTGAGTTTTATTGCTAAATGTGACAGCTAATAAATGGCAGTGCAGTTCCAGGAATAAACCTCAAATGTGTCTCACACCTAAACCCATGCTATTTGCTCTCCTGTGCTCTCACCAGACTTGG